CCCCCCCCCCCCCCCCCCCCCCCGAATACGACTCGCCGAATTACCTCACGGTGCTCACGCTTGGTGATGTGAGAGCCTGGTCCGATTAGAACCCGGCGTGCTCCGTCCCGACTTTGTAGGGATGCGAGGTCAATGGTCTAACGACTACGGCATGCACGACTATGAGTACCTCCCCCAAGAATTGATGTACCTGCTGTTCCCCTGAGTTGATGATGAACACTTCGAATAGGCGTTCCTCCACCGGCTTGGGCTTGCTTCCCATGTCCAGCCAGTGTTCAAAATCCGCTCGCTGCAAATATTTTCCTTCGCTGCTTTCGGTTGCCTTTCTCGAGAAAGGCGTTGGAAGAACAGCGTGCATATTCGAGCCGTGGGAAATCTCGCAAATGTCGCACACAGACCAACCACGCGGAGAGCAAACCCTAAGTACTTACTACCCTGGGTGACATTCTTTGTCAGGAGGCATGCATGTGCAGCAGTGTAGCGGAACACATTCCGTGGTAGGCTCACAGTCGCTCGAAGGTGGCCCGGCGGGGTATTTGTCGATCATTCCGAAACTGCAGGGCTAATCTTTATCCTGTGATTGGCGTCTTGAGAGTCATTGTACTCAATCAGATAATTTCTCGACTCGGGAGTACAGAAGATACAACTGGGTTTTGCCTACTTAGTTCGGAGAAGGATGGAAAGTTCCCCGGGTTTTTCGGGAAATGGCCATACCAGCGGAACCAACATAGATTCCACAACACTTTCGAACTTTGCATCCTATGGGGGAGGACATGACGGACGCTCCCCCACCCCCCGGGAGAAAACTCGAGCGTTTCGAGTATAGATATGGTGGTGGCGTGGTCAGATGTGCCGCAAGGTCCTCCGCGAGGGAGCAATCTTAGAGTGAACAGCTTGCTGACTGCCGATCAACGACAGTTGCACTGCACATCTCGTGCCCTTTGGTGCGGTATCTTTATAGAGGGCAGGAAAAGGTCGAATGTACAATTCACACCATAGGTTTGGTCCTTTTGTCTGAGCTCAGGCTTTACTGTCGAATCAACCAGTGATTGCCCCGAAAGTGGAGGTGTGTGCGACACTAAGAACTAAGCACTAAGCACCACGCGGTATGAGCCAAGTATTTCCAAAACCTACGCCCATCAAGGGCTGAACGGTGGGTGAATTCGTCACTGTCTTACCTTTCTAAAAGCCGTTGCGATGCCAGACACATCCGACGAAGTCATGCACATCCTTTCTACAAACCCTGGCCATCTGTAGGCGTCGTAGACGATTGGCGGAACACACCGAACAGATTCGTCATGGTCAGGGGAGGAGGGAGCGTTTTTCTGGGAAAGGCATGAAACTCACCATGCTGGCTTCCGATGGATGAATCATGGAAGGGTAGTGGGAGGGGGTACTTCGTCATATGCATGAATTTGAATGCTGCCACAGACTCGCGATCCCATGTGAAGCCGGGGCTGAGCAGGGTAGGATTTTCACGAGCAGACAGCGATAATCAGTTTCAAAGACTGAAGCTTCAAAACCCCACCTGAACACACCACTGCTCCGGGATAAAATAACGCCAGCAGAGTACAGGCTAGAAATCACAACACAGAAGACTTGCAATAGAACAACACGGTGTTGAGAGACTGGTAACGTTTCCGTCACGAAAGGGCCGAAGCAACACAGGGGAAGAAACATTTCTCCATTTCTTCTCTCCCTTCCTCGTCCTATTTAATTGTGACAAGATGGTTTGGAAAACAACCGGCGGATCTCCCCGTCTTCCTTTCTTCTCCTCCCCCCTATCCCCTCTCTTTGCGAACCTCGCAGCATGTCTCACCCCTGGATCTCCGCAACGAACTCCTTTTGTCGCGTGTTGCTTGGGGTTGCCCCCATTTCGTTCTTTCTTCAAAGCGGCCGGGAGCACGGCGGTCGCCCTCGAAGCTCCTCACCCGTGATGGTTGTCGACTGAGAATGTTTTTCGCTTCAACACTGAACCTTGTATCTTGACAGTCTTCACGGGTAGTTGAGAAAGAGGGAGAGAGAGAGATAGAGATAGCCCGTCTAGATGATGCACCTCTTGACCTCACTCTGCATTTTATCGCGACCTGAACGCAGAGGGGCACGGCGCTAGGTGTTGCTGCTGTATCGTCGCTGCAGCCTGCGCTAACCGGACCAATCACGTTCGTTCGCCGCCGTGGTGCCGGTGGCGCCGGTGCCCAAGGGAACGTTGCTTTCTATGCCGAACGGCGGTCGTCCGACTTTAACACCTGCCACGGGTATCACTGTGGCCCCCCAAACGCTTTGTAGTTGATGCTCGGTGTACCACGGAAATGGAGTAGCTTCAGCAGCCGGAGCGCAAACGTGCACGCTTTATGCTCGGGATGTAGGTCGTTGTCAACAATACCGGCAGCGGTCGCTGTGCACCATGTATTTCTCTTGATGTTGATGGCTGTCTGCTCTTCGCTTGCCACAGCAACAGCGAGGGTGGAGAAAATGGTACCGGGGGGATCTGCGGTGAGATACGGTGGTGATGCCCCCTAGGGAGGGAGGAAATGTGGGTGCTGTGTTTGCTAGCTTATCCTGAGGTGCTCTAACCCAGGACGAAAGGGTCAGGGCCAATGCACAGCATGGACATCAACCTTTACGAATTTTCGGGCACGTCTTCAGCCAACACATCGCCACGGTGCACAAGGCTTCAACAGATTGCCCGAACTTTGTCGACATTCCGGTGGGTACACCCACCGAAATCGTCCACCGGAATCTACTACTCCTTCATATGCTCTTGATGTATTACCCACTTTGTTGTGTATGGACCCTGACCATGTTGTCTATTGACATCAGAATCAGAGTTTGGGCGTTTCGGCCCTCTCACGAGTGGTCTCCGGGAAGGAAAGTTTCGAGTACACCCAGTTTTGTCCGAGAAAGTGTTGGGTACGGACAAACGTGGGTAACCCACTATCGTTCGCCCTTTCATTGTTGGCCAAGCCTCTCCCTCTGGGCCGCCGGCGTTTTGTTCCTCGAGAAATGTTCGCAGCAGTAGCCCGTCCCTGAGAGTTGCAAGTTGCTCACTCCCGAGAGAGGTTGGATCCCATAACTTCCTACCGGTAGGTTTACGAACGAGGTTTGACTACTTAGGCGGCCGAGTACCTCGGTTCTGTACGCGTATTGTACACCACCTGTGCTCATTCTCCAATACAGCATAGGGGGGCCCGGTTTTTAGCGACCCCCTGTTTCGCGACATGCCCTGTTTGGCGACCACCAAACCACGTCGTTCCGGTAGTGTATCTGTTATGTAATTGGTAGTTTCGTTTAGCGACCTGCCCCGAATAGCGGCCACATTTCGTCGTGACACTAAGGGTCGCTAAACCGGACCCCCTACTGCTGTATACAGCGGTGTTCCTGGCAACATAAATCTGTACAAGTAGTCTCGACGTTTTCGACACGCAGCATCGAGGAAAACACACCCAGACAAAACCTTACCTGCTGCTAACGATATACCAGCACCGGTCAGCCACGATGGTCGCAAGTCGCCTTCATACTGAACCAGCCATCCACCGCGTATCACGTACACTCCCAACACGCATTTAGCATGTCACAGTCCGGTGTTACCAACCAAGACAAGCGTGTAGACCCGGTCTACGCTGTCTGGTTGCCGCTCGGGGGGACAAACGCGGCGGGATTACACGTCGTGAAACTTGAAACGTTTTGTGGATGCATAGTTTAGTGAATAGCCACGACGCCCGCGTGCGAACGAGAGAAGGAGAGAGAGACAGAGAGCCAGATAGAGAGGGAGAGAGGAAGAGGGAGGGGGGGAGAGGACGGGGAGACAAATAGAAGGCCTGGCACAAGTGAGACAGCAGCAATGATGCAACAAAACAGATTTCTTCGGGTGAGATCGGCGACCGAGCGACGGGAACGGCGTCCGGCACAACCACGACGGTGAGGACGATGCTGTCCGCTTCTTCCGCGTGAAGTGTCGAAGGTACGTCGGTGGGCCTCGCCATTGTTCCAATGCCCTATCCTTGACAAGCGCTGTGCAAAGGTGCGGCGTGTTTTACACAATTGTCTGTTGCCACAACTTGAGAGGAGGCCGAGGATGTAGCTTTCCCGTAAACGAGGCATATCTGCGATGCGCGAGTCTACTGTAGACTGCTACCCATGTACACAGTGGTTGTACAACGACGACGGCAGGTACCTTCAAGCGCCGTGGAGACTGGGTGCTCTGACCAAAGTAACGCCCCTACTAGATCAGAGCTCCTGCCATGAACACGCGACAACTACTACAGTAGCAGCTACCAGCAGTAGCGGCAGCAGCAAAGGAAGGCGGGAGTCCCCAAGCACGTTGGACAGTAGTCTAGAAGCCTGCGTGTTTGGGGTTTTCCAACCTGTTGCACCACGTATAGAGCCAACAATCTCAGACTGGTATCCGCACGAAATATGTGTTACCTGCCTATACCCTTCGCGTGTTTTGCAAAATAAACACTAGTCTACAGTTCTAGCGGCTAGGTTGGGAGTTGCGAAGCCCGAAGAATTATTTTTTCCTGTTTTTTCGCATCCCGCCGTGTACTCTGTACGCAGACTAGGGTAGACTATCGTATACTGTAGTCTACGTACGCGGTTCTGTAGTCCACAAGACCAACGAATGAACGTCAGTCTCAGTGCGGTTGAAAACACAAAACACTTCAATATTCCATTAACTGGGACCCCGTGAGGGGGCGGCACGGGGGAGATTATGTATATAATCTATTCTCCGGATCAAAGATAGAAACGGTAGCAACAGAGGAACAAACGTCTACCTTGCACTCACCGTCATCCTCCGTGCTTTCAACTCCATCGGTCTCATTATCGTTTTCAAGGCAACTTTTCGACATTTCTTCTCTAGCCCTGTGTCCTGTGGGGGGGAAGGTAATCTGGCTCGAAGCTCTTACTCTCTTCCACACCATGATTCCCTCCTCGGCTGCTGTTTTGGTGTCTGTCTTGTCCTCCTCCTGTTCCCTCTCCTCCTCCTTCATCGCTGCCAAACGAATGCCCCTCATTGCCATCCTGGTCGTTTCTATCTGCACTACCCGTGGTGGAAGTGCATGACGTTCGAAAACATCACGAGTTCGTACGGACAGAAAACGAGCCAGCTGGAAAGTAAACCGTCTCCGAATCCTATTGGTATGAAAAGCCTTTAGGCGAAGCAAGGCTGTTTCGTCGTCGAAATTCCCCTTGCAAAAGGCTTTATATGCCAAAGTGGTTGGCAATGGCTACAATAATTCGAGTTGTGCCTTTGCCAAGACCACCATACGTTGAAAAAGAAGCAGTAAGGAGGGTAGATCTAGACGGGTTGAAGTTTCTCGCCTGGGTGATTTGCTTTGCTTGCAGCTCGATCTTCGAGGGCGGATCCTGGCTTTTGGATGGACTTGTCGATGCTTCGACCTGCGGATGGGTTGACGATTGTTACATTTACAAGAATGGACTTGGTGCAGAGTTCCTCTTCTTTATCTCCTGCGTGTAGTCCTGGGGAGATCACCAAATCCATTTTGCAGAGCCCTTTTCCCCTACCAGTGCCTGTGGTAAATGGGGAGGAGTCTTCAACAGCGATTGGCAAGTGGCATTCGCGTAATGTCTTCAACATCACGCGAACCATCCTGTTGTGCAGGAAGGTTGAGGAACCGGTCTTCGTGCAGATCAGGGAGTGGGGTCGGCTCAACCGTTCCTTGCAAGACGATAATGCACCCGCACCGCAAAGTCTGCCTGTGTCACATTCAGTTCGATCGTGACTCCCCCGCACACGACCGATTGACTCCCGATACAAGTCAGGCAGCATTCGTTCATCTGCCGACGGTCCTTGCTTTTCACGTGTGTTGTGTGTGTGTTTTGTGTTTTCGCCTTATTTATTATGGCGACAGTCCCCCCATTTTTCGTGGTAAAGACGTGTACTACGTGTTTAAGTGAATGCTGTAGAGTACTACCATGTTGTACGACCATCCAGGGTCACGCAGGAGGGGGTAGACACCGGGGATTTTTTCTTCTTTTTATTTTTCTTTTCGTGCCCCACCTTCCTCCAGCGGTGGCGCTGAACTTTATTTTTTATCTCGAGAAGGGTCCAGCCGTCCCTTTCCCTCGGCAACGGTGCTCAACGTCGAAGTCCGGTACTCACGAGCTCTTCACCTTTTTTCGCTGCCAATTGCAATTTTGTAACTTGAACCCCATAGGGGATTCGAACTCACGACTTTGCCACTAGCGGTTTCGAGGTTACCAATGGACCACCGAGGCAACCTCCTCTCCGTGAATCTGGCTATGAACATCGGGCATTTCCACTGGCCGGAACCCGTACCAGCAGTGCAGTGTTACGAAATGTTTCTCCGAGAGCTAGACTATGGACTATACAACATTTGCACGTTTCAGAGGACCCCATAGATCGCGCCAGAAAAGGTACTGTAGACTACATTTCCTATGGCTCGGATCAAAAACCAATTGTGGTGGTGACAACTCGACTTTAGGAGTGTTCAAGGTTTGTAGAACACATTGCGGTTGTGTTGCGCTGTAGTATTGAACAATCTCGGAAACAACTATCGAAACCTGCTCAGAGTTGGCCTGAAGGGGGTCGCCAAACACGATGTCGAGGGTCTTCCCCGGGGCCAGCTTTGGCAATGGGGATTAGACTCATCATTGAGGAAACGCTACGCAAGGGAAGGTACAAAGGGGGGGGGGGGGGGGGTCCAAAAACAACCATCCCCCTACAAATTCATTGGCACCCGGGTCCAAAGAGGAAAAAAAACATGGAACAATGCCCAAACCCAATCCGGCGCAGGGCGATTAAAAGTTCACCACCAGCTAGGCTACGCAAGCAGGCCTTCCTCTGTTGCTGGAACCACGAGAGAGATAGACCATAGACCATTTCATTTTGTTGTTTCGAACCATGAAAATGACTAAAATCGTATTGAAACATTCCCATGCTGTCGAAACGCGAAACTCCGCGCTGTTGTTGGGTCCAAAACAGCGAATCAGTGGACGTCACGGTGCCCAACTATGCTGGAATCGGAACCTGATGCGACAGCGGGTGGCGCGTCGTCTAGTGAATCGGGCACCGCGGCCACCCGCCTCGAGGAAGGCCTACGGCGCAAGGTGCGGCAAGCATTCGGAGACCAAGGATTCTCAACTGGACAAGTCGTAAATGTAGTCACAGCGGGTGTTCGTTCGTGCCAAGCTTTTTCTCCGCATGAACTTTGGTGAAGGTCACAGCACAACAGCTCACGCTGCTAAGCGGATGTTTCTTATGTCTTGGGGACCTCAGAAATATTATGCAAGCACCGGCCAAATGGGGGGCCGCAAGGAATAGCAAAAATCCTGTGTGTAAACATACACCGCAGTAGCGTGGCGCGAACAGATCCGGAGTAAAGCGTCGTGTGACGGAGTCACAAATTTCTCGATTTTCAGAAGATGGTGAGTTTGTTGCGAATGACGATTAGGAACGTCGAGGAGGGTGAAGTTTGCTCGAATGGGATATCACGGCCCGGACTACAATAAACGGAGCGTCGCCCTGGCTCGTGAAGTTTGTTCAGGTTTCCTTACGTCAAGGGGTATTAATGATAAATTGCCGACCCATCGAGTCCTCAAGCATTGTTAACCCGTGAAACTCGTTTTCGTCGTTTTCTCCAGTCTTTGTTGTCAACGTTTCTTGACCTACTACACCGCGCCTGGGACCTTTGATTGAGAATACAGTTTCTCGTTGCCCGCGTCTTCTTCGCCAAGGATGCATTGCCGACTGTGGCATGATCCTTATGGTGCACACAATACGAAGGTTCTGCTGAGAGCCTTACCACAAGCGCACTACCGCTCTTTGCGCCAGACAATGTCGAGTCCTCCCCTCCCAATTTCTTTGTGTGCGTAGTCACTACCTCCCCTAGTCCAAGAAGCCCGTGCAACGGCCGCCCGGGGCAGCAAACATCCCGGAAAGTCTAGCAGCGGTGGCACCAGCAACAGCTCCGGCGGACGAAGATTCAGTATAAGGAACAGCGGAGAAAGCAGCAACAGCAGGGACAACGGCGACAACACCAGCGGCACCAGGATCGATGACAACGGCGGCGACGGCGGCGGCGGTGACCGAAAATTCAATCAACAAACGGGGCCCTTGTCCTGCCCTCCGGCTACAGAAGAGATGCGATTGTCTCCGCCCGTGTCCTCAGCGAGAGATGCCATGGACTCCGGAGGTGTTGGGGAAGGTGGAGGTGGCAATGACGGGGGTGGGGATGGACGGGGTGACAGGGGCGAAGGAAGCGGAGAGGTCGGTGGAGGCCATAACGATATAATCGAATCCTCCCGTGCCGGTGTGGCGGAAGTCGATGTACGTGATGGTCCCAAGATGAGCCCGAGAACCGAAAGTGGGATAATCAAACAAATGGACGAGATGCGGCGGAGTATCGACCAACACAACGACGCCACCTCCCGCAACGGGTCTGCCTCTGGCCTTCAGAACCCGAAGGTAACGCGCTGGGTCGTCTCCACAACACCAATTGGCGGGCTTGGCGCGCGGAAACCCTAGAGCTGCGGGATTGGTTCGTGCATGTTTTATTTCGCAAGGTCATGACAACAAAGTGGTTCGGGCCACATCAAATGTCTGTAGATCTCTACGGAATGCAGGTTGTTGAAGGTTAAGTGTACATGCAGGCGGCAGAGAATCAATTCAGCAGTAGCAACAGCAGGTGCACATCAGAAGCAGATTGTACACCACCACAGCAGCAACAGCAGCAACAGCAGCAGCTGCTGCTGCTGCTGCGACATCAACAAACATGAGGACGAAAAAAATGCTGGCAACTGCACCGACACCCAAACATGCACACAATATGTAACGGTTGGACAATTTCAGACTACGAAGGAGGAAGAGGCAGCAGCTACGGACCATGAGGGAGGGGTCTGTGAGGAGGTAGTCGACGACGACGAAGATAGCCCTCAGCGACTGTTTATCGGCTGGATGCAGGCAAGGATACGGCCTTGGTTAGTGCTTGTTCTTCAACATTGGGTTTTCGAGAAACAGTCTGCCGCCTCTAGTTGGGCACGGAGCGGATGCCAGAAGAGATGCCCGATATCATGCTTGATTTATCCGGAAAACATACATTTGCCATCACTCACGGATCAGTTTACCGCTGTTGGACTCTTTCAACTAGCGTCCATTACGCTTCCAGAAAAAATGACCTTCACCATGGCCTGAATAAAACCGAATAGTTTGCCAAACCTGAACCTGACGTCTAGAGCGTATATCCATCGATTCCGTAGATTTGGAAACATACATTCCCTAGTATTTCAGCCCCTATCGTTGGTCTTCACCGTCGGTGTGTATGTCGGATGCAGTGTTCAAAAAAAGGGACAGGTAAATACCTGGTGTCTTCCCTTGAATGGACCTTTTGAAGATCGACAAACCACGAATGACCAGAGCATCGAATGAGTGAACCTTGCGATGAACAGTGCTTCACGCTAGACCTGTTGAACAAGGCTTTCATTCAAGATTTTCAACACAGCAAGGTGTGCCATGTCTCTCCTTGATCAATGGCATCGTGGTAGTTCAAACTTGGAATGCGTACAATAGTGAACGTTTCCCTCTTGAACGGGTTTTCCATGCGTGAAACACGGTACACGGTTGGTTCGGGAGAGTTTAAGTCGCACACCGCGAGCTGACGGCTTCATTCTTTTTTTGATCCGGAAGGCGTGGAGCCAAACGTGCTTGCCGAGTACGCCTCTCAGTCATAAGTCACAATCATTGACTGTGATTGGTGAATCTCCGGATTTCCACTTCAGTGTCAAGGCAAGCAGTTGGTGAGACCCGACGAAATTACTGCTAGTGAGGGCGACCGGTCAAGTTGGCTCGCATCCTCTTTCCCCCCAAACACCCGGTAGGCAACAGCAAGAGGTAAGCAGTAGCAAAGACGATGCGGCATCGCTGAGCTTGATGCAAACTTGCTAAACCCGCGACAACAAACACTACGCTTGGCCTTTGCCTATCACATCTATTCTACCTCCCTCTCTCCATCAATGTCGAAAGTAGGTACCTCGACGTGGAAGGCTGACGTCCCTGCCATATGAAAGGGGTATGCACTCGAAATACCTAAGGTGTAGAGTTTAGACATTTTGTGGAGCGATGTTCATTCTCCAAAATACACGTCGACCTCCCAACGAAATATCTATATACAACAGGCGAGACAGCGTGAGTTCGTGACCGTCATCAGCCTCGGCTGCGTGACAGCTTTGTTCGCAAAGCACATTGCTGAGGACTACAACGGTACGCTTCCGATGATGGTAACCTTCATCCCCTTGGCGGTGCATGTGCTACTCGTGAGGGATATCTACATCAAGTGGGAAGACAGGTGACCCCAAGGCCTTGCTACTGAACTTCCTTGCCTTGCATGTACTTGCGCATGTGGTGTGTGTGATGCGATATGCTAGATGTAAATAAAGAGCACGAGAGAATGAACAGAAATCGCTAGGCCGAGAAATCAGTAGCGGGGAAGAGAGCTTTTGTGAGAATTAGCGAGCGGAAAAATGAAGAAAAGGGGAGGAAGAATGGCTGCTAGTGATGGAGGGAGATGGGAATAACCGGCATAAAACCAACGAGCGGACAAAGTTATCGCGGTGAACTTGAGTGATACAAAGATAGAGAAGCGATAACGAGAGTAAACGAATGGGCCAGACAAAGATTGGCACGCGAAGAGATCGTTGCCATGAGGTTTCCGCTTTTTTTTTGCGTCAGTTATTTCGTCCTCAGTCAGTACGTGGTATGGTTGTATCTGGGATGCATCGTCAATGGTGAGCAAACGCCAACAGAGCACGAAGCTTGTTCGGGTTGTTTTCGTCAACCAGGCAAAAGAGGAAACACTTCGACCGAGAACAACCACCGGCGAACGCTCAAGAGAAGAGCATCAATACGGCTAATGATGGTGGTGGTGGTGGAACGGACGCCGCTGCATCGGACCCCATGCCCGCCACTGCCGCTGCTGGTGCTGTGGTTGAAGGAGTCGATGGAGTGGATACTGTGGGAATGGCGGCCTACGAGGTTGGAGCAACAGGTGAAGTCTAGACAGGGTGGGTCTACAAGTAGGAACCTCGGGACCATAAGCTCTCTGCAGCTGGACTTCGTCGGCACCAGCGGAGTCACCAAGGTTCTCCTGTATTACACATGGACATTTTTTTCAGGTGCCCCACTCGGCCCGCCATTGCACCCCACCCAAAGTGCGAGCCATATCATAGTCGTGCTGCTTTGGTTTCTTCTCAGTGCTAACCCTGCTTCTGAGAAGGAAAAACGTGGGTTCTCGATGATATCGCGATCGTGGATGACGCACTGATTGGCTGTTGTTACGTGAACCGAAGGCAGCATTCCACTCAACGCAAGGCAACGGTGTGGTGTAACTTCCAGCGGCAAATATACAATATCCCCCTGCTGGAGAGGTTGGCGCTGTCTGCAAATGTAGCTGACCTGCACCGGAGCGGTGTGCTTCTGAAGTCGCTTTCTTGACGTGGACACGGGTTGGCAAAGTGACAAAACGATGCGACGCCGAGAAACACTGCGCTACCCAGCACTACTGTACATGTTTCTCGGCGTCGTTTCATGTCAGTGAAAGCTTTTCCTTCGTCAAAAAAGCCGATCACGGCGCAATAGGCTTTAAGACATTGGGTCAACCCGCCTCCCCCCAGCAGGGGGCACGACGTCCGTGGTTTCCCCGGATTCCGAAGATATCACGGCGAAGCGGAACCGGGCCGGCAGCACCGACGACCAAACACATGCCGTTGGTAGCGGTGGCAGCAGCAACGATTCGCCATGCTCGAGCAACCGGTCGGTGAGGGCACTGTACTTTTCGATGAACCCAATCTGATATGCTAGCTTGACGAGCAGAGCTTGAAAATTGGTGATTTCTGTTGAGGATGTTTTAGTTTTTCCCTGATGTGGGAAAATACCTAAATCGCTGGCGGAACCAATATGACGCACCTGAACAACACAACAACAAATTCATGTTTCGACCGAAATTGCAGGCCATATTGTTGTGTCAGTTTCCGGTACGACGCGTTTCCACTATTTAGGATAACCGGAATCACGAACAGTAAAATGTACATCCGGGTTCGCGTCGTTAACACCAGGACCGTACTTTCTGTCGTGCTCATGGCTCATGGGCGCTCACACCTTGTCCTGCATGGTTGTTTGTCCTTGCCAATCTCTTCAGGGTTTGGAGTGCATCACTACTATCACCACAACAGCCTACCTCCAATACGGGAGGGCATGCATGCACCTTTCATCACAGCTCTCACCCCCCCCCATTTTGTTGTGTTTTGTGTTTTACAGCATCTTTTCATCACCAGAGTGTCGAATGCTAATATCTGCTGTTCGTGTGCTTTGCATATTTCCTCCTATCATTCCTGAAAATTGTTCCTGGTTCTTGCATGATAGGGCGTGGTGAACACTGTCACCTCCGATGGGGGAAGGCGCGGAGCTCCCTCCAGCGGTGTGTCCGAGAGTGACGATGGTTGGTCGGAGCTAGGGAACACGACTGGATCGGTGGGTCTTCGTTTCACGCCGTTCATCTATTGTAGATGTAGCACTGATGACCTGATGGTTTGTCGTAACTTGGGCACAATTGTGCCGCGGTTCTGCAGCATTTCACGCGCGCTTTGCCTCTCTTGTTGCTAGAATCCCAACGTACACTCGTCAACAGTCGGTCGACCCAGCGAGATGCCCTCTAAAAACTCGAAATGTAAGCCTATTCAGGGTTTCCAACACCGGAAAAGAGGCGATGCGCCCGCACCATGACACAGATTCGGTGAAGCAATCCGTCGGTGTGTGTGGGGCGCTGTTTACCTGGTCGGAACCTCCTCGGGATAGTCGGTCTTCCGTAGCATGTCGGTTATACACACGGTCCCGGTAACCGAATATATTCAGGGAGAAAGATTATTCGTGAAACGAAAATATGAAAGCCAGGTCGTCTATCCATACGTGCCCACTTCTCCACCCAGGAAAACATGCTCAAGTTTCTGGAAACCCCGTTCCAGAAAAGCGTCCGGCTGCTAAACATTGCCTGCGAGAACGTCAGCGACCCGATCGTACGGAGGGTGCTCAAGACGGTGGCCCAGCTGCTGTCGGATCCGGACTCTCTGCACAAGGTCAAAGAGGGCTCCATCAGGTACGCAGACTTCATGTGGTACGGGGTACAAGACCAAGGTTATTGTTGTTGTTGTTGTTGTTGTTGTTGTTGTTGTTGTTATCGTTGTCGATGTCTGTGAAGGGAAACAGGTTTAAAATTGCCTCAGTACAAATGTCGACCGTCAAGGTAGAAATGAACCTCGACGGTAAAAGGCTAACCCAGACACAGAGTAGTTCGGCGACCAAGAAAGACCCGGAAATATCGTTGACACTGCGGAAAAAATCTATAAAAGTAAATGCCAATCACGGTGCAACCACCAGCCGGCAACGGGAAGTAGATCCCGCCGTCGTAAGATGGTCGAGTCGTGAATGTTCAAGGCCAAGAGAGCCCCTTCCAGGCAGGGAAGGGTTGAACATATCTGCGAAGGTTGAAAATATCTACTGTAGGCTTCGGTACGGATTCATTTGACGTGTGTCAACAAGCGCTTCACCAGGCAGGTGGTGGGGTAATGGGTTGTTGGTGATGGCTACGGCTGAGAAGGCCTTTGAGCATTCAAAGGATCAAGGCCACAACCACCTCGAGTCAACTTGAGGAAAATTATTATCTTTTCATTTGTACAAAGCTTCCAGCGTAACACGTAACGCCTATGAGGATCGTGGTCTAGCGGGTATCGAGTACGTTGGAAAACGATCGACTTGAGGTGTTCGAGCTCATCGTACTTCTTGAACCAAATACTTGGTATCGAGAACTGAAGCTTATCAGTGTCCTGTGTTTTCGTGTGATTGGGGCCTACAGTTGTTTTCGTGCCAGACGCGTGCCCATTGATAGATGATGGATCGGGCCTCTCAGAACAAATTCAACATAGAGGACAATGCACGAGCATTGTGACTCTCGTGTCAATGGTATACGCCGCAACTGAACGCATCAATATTCTGATTTCAAAGCAACTCATCCACAATGGTCGCGGGGTGTCACTGCTGCATAACCAGGCGGATGACAATGGACTTGGGAACCCGCAACTATCTTGAGAACGTCCTGCAGACGCCGGTGAAGTCTACCTCCGCCGAGGACAACTGGAAGAAGCTGAGGACGGGGATGTTTGTCGTGAGAGCAATGGCGAGAGAGGCAGCCGCGGCAGAGGACTTCCTCTCGGCCTACGAAACCAGGCAACGAGCGAAATCGGTGCGTACGTCAACCAAGAAGAAATGATGCGGTGTACTGAGTCGCACCGCAAGTGCTCGCCTGCTGTGCACACGCCCCAGCCATGGACATTAGAGGCAGTCGACCCCGAAGCAGTCGAGATTGTTCAACAAGTTCGTAGAGTTAGCAACAAGGTGCGACCGTTCAATCGGGTTGTTCTTGATCTTTATCTCACTCCCATGCTAACACTCCGACTCTTGCTAGTTCTCCGACCCTTCGGCGGAAAAGATGTGCTGTCAAGACGGCCGGGAGTATAGAAGCGGCCTGTATCGGTAGGATGCAGTGTTCGTGCTTTTCGTGTGGTGTGGTGAAGTCTTCGAAGTCTGCGTGCGCACCAAGCAGTATTCCTACACGATTGAACTAAACAACTGCCAATACGCCAGCAGTGAACGCCCCCCGAGAAATTGTTCGGATTGTGCAAAAACCACTACGACGGTACGTGCTTGTCTATGTTGTACCTCGGTGAGTTTGTCGGAGTCAGTCGGGGTGGCACGCAACCTCACCCCTTCGGCCGATGTGCCAGAACCAGAAAGGAGACGAGCGCTCCCCCGTGCACCCTCCGATCTTTGAGCGTAAAGGCGATTTAATGATCTCGTTCTTAAACATTTATGGCGTGGTGGTGCAGACTCTCCTATTCGCGCCAACTCTCGGGTGTAATCGGTACACCCCCCCTCGTCTTTGTGGGCAGTGATCTTCGTCACATCCATTAGAGGAACAACCGCTTCGGTGTGGCTGCCGGGTTGTTTCGTCAGAGCGGACGACCCTCCTGGAAGAGTTACACGTTCCACATCCATAGGAAGAGCTTCGGTCCAAAGAAAGCGTAACAATCAGATAACACGGGTATGTCTGGTGGACCTGACAAGCCTTAATGGGAGTTCAGGCCACACACACATGCCCACAAATGGCGCACAAGGCTGAGTAGACCTCTCCAGGGTTGGTAATTTCTTTTATCTCTTGGGTGTTCGCTGGGGTGCCGCGCAGCCTACTTAGTCTGTCCGGAAGGGTAATATACGCTCAAAGCATGAATCAGAAACACATGTGCTTGGAAGAGCAATACGCTTTAAGGGTGCACCACAAATGCTATACCAGAAACGCTAAACACGAGTTGTTTATGCTGGAAAATTGCGACAAAACACGCTTGTTTTCTAACGATCACGGCAACAACGAGAAACTTCAGAAACGCTCGTTGATTTCTCGCGCATGAACGAACGCCGCACCCATGCCATGCATCCATCCACGCCTTCTGCAAAATACCCACAGAGGTCGAGTCTGAGTAGATACTCCGGAGTACTGTGCTGTAGTTTGAAAACAACCACAAACCGTCACATGAGCAACACCCGCTACTGATGTGTATTTTTCAAATGTATTCTGGTACCTACGGGGATTCAAACGATCAACCAGGGCGAGAGTTCCGTGGACAACGACAACAAGAAGTCCGAGCTGGATGACTTGTTGGAGGATATTGAGAACGGCGTCGATACTACTACGCAAGACCTTGTGAACACCACCATCGCCAGAAAGTCCAGGTGACGCGGCGAGAATCAGCATGTTGTTGTTGTTGTTGTTGTTGTTGTTGTTGAGCTTCCTCAAAGGCCGGAACGTACGCTGTACTGATGCGAATTCCTGAAGGTCCGAAATAGGACATCCGTCAAAGGATTCCACGTTTGACAGCGAAACAATATGATTTATGCCGTTTGGGCGTTCTATGTATGACCGAATTTTCCTCGTAATAAGATGACACTATCGAGGAAGTATTAGTTTGGTATGCTGTCATGTAGGAACAGCCCGCCTGGCTTGAACACGCCCGGGGTTGTCTCTTCTATTATCAGGGCGGTGTTGGCAACGAGTGATACGTGTTCGGCACCTCTCGACTGCATGGCCAATCAATTAAACTTGTCCTTATCTTCAAACCGCTGGGGGAACTTAGTTGACGGGTGGTAGGCTTACTAGAGTGGGTGGATTGTTACTTTACGCCGGAAACGGTAGCCTCCTACGGTTACACGAAAGATGCTGAGACCGGCTGAAAAATGGTTAACTGGAGTTGGCTCGCTGATGTGTTAGGCTGTTGGAGGCGAATCGCAGTACTGTAGTTGTTCGTGGCTGAGATGTTCGTGATACGCGGAAAAATCTCTCTCCGTTTTATTAGGAAAAAATCGAAAAACAATTGGATCCACCCACCCTGACCACTAACCCCCACATGACACCCTTCGAAAATACAGTAGCGCGGCAGCGTACGCCCAGGACGGCGAATCGAATCGCTTCAGCAACTTCAATCGGAACCTCATCCTAGGGCAACAGCTGGTGGGTTCGGAAACGTGATGTATTCTTCACACTTGTTATGGACAGAAGGGCCAAGTGTGCTTAGTAGGAAAATACATCAAACACCTGCATTGTTCGAATCTGTTCGTTGACTAGTCTTCACGGAAAAGAACGAATCTGAATTTAGTGCCCGCTGGACGCTTCTTCACTTCGAACGTAGTCAGGCATGTGGACACATGGCTTCCTTGAACCAGCTCACACTGAACCCCTGACCCTTTCGTCTCGACCGCGTTGGTGTGGTGTATTTTCTGCAGTGTCATGAAGGTGACGACCAAGATAAAGCTCATATTCCATTTGGGGGCGTTGGTTTGCATTGTATTGAAAGCTGATTTCAGGTTGTTCTGCGTGATGGCAGGTGGCAAAGACCTTGTCGCGCGGGGATCTTCGCAAGGATCCGGATCGGTTGAGTGTCAGGGTGAGTGACTTCCACACATCATTGGCGCAAAAAGCTACTTAACTTAGCGCGTCGTGCACGGCGATGTAGGAGCAAACCGCCTGCAATGTTTGTAGAGACATGTATACACCGAATCGGTGTACGATCGGGTACAACAAACCATTAGGAACTATCCTGCCTATAAGCAGAAAACAGAGCCGAGCGAAGGGCTTCCCTCGCTCTTTATTTTGGTAGTAAACCCTTACGCTTAGCGCCTTGTCGACCATAAAATATGTGTTGGTGGTGTCGGTGGTGTGGGTTCGGGGGTAGTATTGACTGGTTTTCCCCACACATTTACCCGGTTGTCTCCATGTGTTGTTGCATCACCCAAAGCTTGTTTGAGGTGGAGGAGAAGTCTACTACGAGGGAGAACAATGAGGCAGCCTACTTGGAATTTGTGTTGATGAACCTTGGTGGAAATATTGTTGACATGTTTATTGTGTCGAGTAGGCAGCTGTGGGTGTCGAGACAGAGGGCGGACGACGTACCCGCAGTGCTCTCAACAAAGGATGCACGTGCGCTACCATTCGACGCATGAATTCTCACCCTCAGGAGTTGCGCGACTTGGTGTCCGAGCACAAGACGCCCGACAAAATAATGGAACTCACAACGGTGGAGGAGAGAGCCGCCCACGAGGTGTCCGAGCACAAACCACCCGAGAAAACTCTGGAACTCACAACACCAGGGGAGAGAGCCGCCGGGGCGGGACAAGAGGATAAGGAGGAGCACGATGTCAGCCCCGTCCAAGACGACGTCTGCGAGATGATGCTTATCCCCAGGCTACCAATCTTGGACGAGGTAAGCGCTCGAAAGTCGGAATATTTTGTGCAACCCAGACGCGTGCAGCACCCTGCTTGCTCTCCTCGGATATTGGGTGAAGTGAAACGTTTACGGTAACATCGGTGTCTGCTGTTTGCGGGTGTTTTGCCGATGTTTCGAGAACAGCGTTCCCTCTTGTGTCGGACGCGTTTTGGAAAATAAGCCTCTTGATTAGGCCACGCTACGGCCCTAGTCTAGCGACTAGACACACGTCCCTGGATCAGCGCCAAGATGTTCCTGCGATATTATATTGCCTGAACGTTGGCAACTTACTGTAGTGGAGTTTGTGGTATCATGGCCAAAACTTCTCTCCAGTTCCCATTGTAACTTGCAACAATTACAAGGAAACCGTGTGCGCTGATCAAACGCGATACACTCGGTCATATCTTGGTTAGATCGCAAACGATATATGGCCATGCGATCGTCATTCAACGCCAGTCCTACGACATTGTGTCGACGGCCAGGCCGACGAAGCCGGTCCAATGAGATTGTGGCCTCACCTTCGGCGAGCTCTGTAACACCTTTGTATGTGCTCGACTACGAAACTTGTCCTGCAACGTGCACAGAGCGTCGTCGGAAATGTGGCCTCGCTGCTAGCTGACGGTCAGTTCCTGAAGTGGGAGTTCAATGTCTTCGCACTGGAGGAGCGAAGCCAAGGACACTCACTCTGGTGAGATTCCTGGCGCCGGGGTAGTTCGTCGGATGGGTTCAGCAACAAGGAAGTCTAGATTTCTGTTTTACCGGTGGTACCGTGTCGCTCAAAGCTTTCTGGTCAGTGAAGGAGAATAAGAACCATTGTGCGGGTTGCTGGGTGTAGATGTTGAGTGGTGCAACAGAACACACCTTCGCCCTCAGGAGGCACAACGTTAAGGGCAACTACTCCCTCAGGTCAATGTCACGTGCCCGCTCACGGTTCAGCACCATGTTCGTTCCCCGTACCGTTACGCAGGACGGCAATATTTACCCGTCCTTCGATCGTTGCGAGTTTCGTCTCAATTGATGTGGTTTTGTGCGTGTTTTCAACCCCTTTAGTCACCCTGGAAATACCAAACAAACAGGAGATACGAAACAAAGGAGAGCCACCGCGGCAACTTTGCTCTCTCTTCCCATACCCCGAAAAAAAAACACTTTAGCTTTATATCCTACCGTACTCACTTCATAACATACCCGCACAGGTTTTGTGACACTAAACGTGACATCACCCCCCTTGCACTATTCTCATGGGTCAACTGCCCCAGGTTTGCGGCGATGTCAGCATTCTCGCACTACAACCTGATCGGAGCGTTCGGTCTCAGCGTGGACCGGTTGAGCCAGCTATTTCTGTGCGTTGAGGCAACCTACTGCTTCAGTCCGGAGAAACCCAACTCGTACCACACGCACGTTCACGCTGCGGACGTCACGCTAACCGTGAGTGTTCGTACTATTCTGCCGATCTCATCGTTGTATCATGTGAAACGAACAGTCACTTCCTCAGCGAGATTCTGAGTGAGACAGGCTCCCAAAAGCTAGTTATTCTGAGTGCGTCTTGTGTTCGACAGTGGTGGCGCGGTCATCCGCTTGTAGCGCGACTCTTAAGCCATCGGAAAATATCGAAAACGACACGGCGCTTTCGAATTACCAGTGCATTATTTCCGCAACTATTCCACGGGAACTTCGATTCAAAGCTTTTCGAGTTAGTCAAGAATATTTGTGGTGTTTTTGGCGCTTCTGTCGGGGTTCCCTCGGGCCATTTTGACACAACCTCTGAGCATGAGCCTCAATGGAATCCTTAATCACAAGTCGGACCAAACGTGATCACTTCGGGTGAAGAGCCTCCCGATGGTACAATCCATGAGAGCGCACATCCAAATGGCAAAACATGTGAGATCACAGCTGGCTCTAAGCTCCAGTCACAGATAACACCGCAGTGTTGGAGACTATTTACAGCTATCAACAGGGGTGCGCCACAAACAACCCATTGAAGAATCCTTCCGAGTCTGTTCCCTATCACCTGGCGTCCGCTATTCCCTCGTCCGTCCTCCTGCGAATTAGGTTTCCCACTTCTTGTCGGTGGATTCAATCGCTAACACTGTTCGAAGCACCCATGGGCTGGCTCTCCTCATGGCGGCGATCATGCACGACTACCGACACCCGGGGGTGAGTTCAATGTAATGCCGAGTGGGTAACGTACACCAGGTAAATGCCAATGCCGAGTACATGAATACACGAAGCTACACCCAAGGCGGGGTTCAAACGGGAATGACTCGACTGCATCCGAGGGAAAAGTGGTAATGTTGAATTAGTCGACACCCGGGGCTGAAACCATCATGAATAACCGTCCGGGGGTGACTTGCTGATACCGGATAGCTGAAGCTACACTTCGGAGCGAGTCATGTGCACAAGAGATCGCGGCACGAGTGGTCTTGGCTTCAGTCGTTCTCTTGGTTGTCTTCTACGCCTTACATGGGGCCTGAAAACTCGAGGAGTCACGGGGTTGGGGCATTTGACGTACCTTTGGTTTGCATAGTTGACCGAATCCGCCGTTCTCTCCTGTACAGAAAGGGTTTAACTTCACGACAGCATGCATCTCGAGTAGTCGTCTCACGACATCTCAGCCTAGTCTACCTCCGCAGAGTACCTACGTAACGCCAAGGCGCGCCCAAGCAACCCAGGTTGTTTCGTTATCGCCCCCGTCTTGTCAGTGACAAAACGAGCCATGCACGAACAACGAGTTCTAGAGGAAAGTATGCAGCGAGGGCGAGGGTCATGAACATGTGGATGGGGGACGGTGACCTGGATGCTGATAGGCGAGAGAGTGGGAAATGTTGAAAACACAACCTGAAACACGGTACGTGTGATGCGAAATTAAGCTTACCAACATTTACCCAAAACCAAAGATGTCGAGGACTCACAAAACTCGGGACAATACAGTACATGAGGGCAAGGTTAAAACGCTTGAGTCGAGCATTAGCTGGTGGGACATACAGCCAACAAGTCGCCTTCGCTGTCATACATGTATCCGCGTTGGGAACCACATATTAACCAAAGCAACATCGAGCACTTCCTGGAGAACGAAAAGAAACTTGTGCATGGACGAATTGTAACAGACAAAATGTGTTCAACATCGCGACATGCGGTTCTGCTAACCGCGGTACCGTCCCAATCAACGATCTCGTCTGGATCTTTTTCGACAATGTGGCCAAAAAGCATTGGCGGTCACGTTTGGGCCTTTCCGAGCCATTCGGGGTCAAGCTTCGTTCCCACGCGAGGGGGGTGTTTATGCAACCGGCGAAACTCATCTTGCACAACCATTCAGTAGCCGAACACGATACCTGCGTGTTAAGCCACTATTGAAATTTGAAGACAATCGACCATGCCGAAACACGACGTACATCATGATTGCCGTTTTGTTCTGATGCACAGGTCAACAATGGATACCTCGTGCGCGACCTTGACCCTCTGGCGGTGGTGTACAACGACGCCTCCGTGCTGGAAAACTTCCACGCGGCAGAGGGGTTCAAGATGGTGCTCGACCCAACCTTTGATATCCTGAAGGTGATCGTCATTGTGTTGTTCTTGAACGTGGTTCTGTGCTGACGTCGGCGATGAAGACGAGAATCAACACCGAGGCGTTGATTTACTTCGCAGTCATTGGTTATGTGCCTGTTTCCCGAGGCGCTTTTCATAACGGGTGGCACCGCCAAATGAGCCCACAGTTGTTTGTCGGAGCAACTCCCACTCCGTAGCCACTCCGTCGTCTCAGTGTGATATCATGTCGGCATGGGTGCCTCGTTCACTGGCGGCAGGGGTGGAAGCCGGAGGACATCCAGTTCTTCCGACATGCGTTCGTCAAGTGTATCCTCGCCACAGACTTGGCTCTGTCACTGGAGTACGTGTCGAAGTTCCAGAGCTTGACCTCAACGATCAACGTGGAGCTCGGTAGTGGTAGTGGTACAGCGAAACCGAGTGAGTGATCGAAAGCGTACGATACGATACGAGCGAATAGTGATCGTCGGAGTTGACATATCTCTGGTGCTTTTGGGACACCATTCCAGCCTGTTAAGGAATGCAATGGTGGCCGAACCTCAGTGCGTAGTCGTCCAAGCCCAAGGTCACGTTGTAACTATGCGGTCGTCGTCGATGTCGTTGATTTTGCAATTGGCGCCCAGAGTTGTTGTACGTTCAGGTATCGCTGCTGGCGTGAACAGTTCCCGCACGCAATCGATCATTGAATGTCGGTTTCCCGACGTGCATTCCTTGCCAACCCCTAACATGAGAAGCGAAATTCCGGGGACTGTCCGAAAGTCCACGTAATCGGCATGCACAGGATCTCGTCGCCTTGAGTTTGAACGTTTAGCCTATCGAGGCGTTGAAACAGGCTGCTAGCAGATGGGAGCTCTTCCATCTATACGCGCAGCATCCAAAGTTAGCTAGGAGGACAGAGTGGCTTCGATAGCAATGCAGACCACGACACGAATACCTGGCTAGTTTCTGAGGCTTGAACTTGATGTGTCCCTGGCGATTTGAACGATTCTTGGCCTGCGGCGTCAGGTGGAAAACCAAGCGGTGGCGAGAACAACAGCATCCAGGTCCAAATCCTGGTGCTGCAGATGGTCCTGAAGGTACGTTTGTGGTTACCGTTCCCATCGAGTGTTTGCCATATTTTCTCTTCTCTCAAGCATTTCTGCTGGTCTCCATCTGGACGTATCTCTTCGCGTACCAATACCATCTATAGTATTCCATGGTCAACATACTCGGAATCGAATCCACACCATCTCCATAACGTAATCTTGTTTTAATCACGGAGACGCAAGGTTGTGGCTAGTGGTGCGCCCTCTGTGTTCTTTTGAATACTACTGCTCAATGCTCGAGCACGATGGATAGTTACTCAAAACGTTGCCTTCATCACTTGCCTTCGTCCAGAGAATAAGGCGCAGGAATTTCCTCAACCTACGGCCAGCCTGTAGGTCTAAGGCACACATATATTCCTGTGGAATCATACTTGTCGGAAAAGGCTGCACGGAGTTGACCCTACGTTCAAACGCCTCTGTCGGAAACCAAGATTTGACGCCCTGAGGTGGTCGAGGTGACCGTACCTCATGAACACTGACTGTCCACGAGTCTCCTTGTAACTACACCATGTTGCTCGGTACCATATGGGCTGACTATAACGTTTCACCTGTTGTCCAGTGTTACCCAGTGTTAACCTCATGTTGTGACTACTTACTGGCCCTTGCGAACGCGAGCTAGTAGTTTCCCCCCTGAAATTAGTCGACATTGCTCGCTCTCCAACGTGTGCTCGTTGGAACTGCCCCTGCCGACGCAACCTGTTGCTCGCCTACACCATAATCTTACCGCAGGTTTCTCATATATTGGCGGTACTCAGGGTTTGGGCGCCACAAAATAAAGCCATACCAGAATTGTTCGGCTTCTTTCATTCCGTACCCTTGCTTGAAATCTGCTGGGAGACTGCGTATGCGATTCTTTTGCCCCCTCCCCCTCCTCCCGCCCTCCCCCTCCCCCCCCTCCTCTCTTACGCAACTAACCTTGCAAGCCGTCCCGGCTCTTAAAGGGCACGTCTCCGGCACAGAACCTTCTCCAAAACCCGAAAGTTTCGTTCACCTTTGCGGGGTACGGGAATCGACGATAAATCGACGAACGTATGGCATGCTCTCTCATGTTGGCGTTTCATATGCTTCCCCTCAGGTTGCCGACGTGGCCCACCCTTGCAAGCCGTGGGAGGTCCACCACAAGTGGTCTGAGCTCGTCACCGAAGAGTTCTTCAAGCAGGTCAGGCATTCTACAATCGGCAATAGGTTTCTCATACATCATTTTCAGCATTCTGTGTGTCTGGAATATTAAAAAGATGTATCGATCCCTGTCTGTCCTTCTGCAACTTCTGTAGGTCGGGTCACGCTGTGGTCGAAGCTACCAACCAGTAGCTGCCTTTGTTCAACCACAGCAGTAGTAGAAAACGCCTCAATTTTCACCAACCACTACGTTTTCCTCTACATTATTAGTGCAATCACCCTGCCGTTCTATTCGTCTATGTTTTCATGGTTGGTTCTGCAGGGCGATAAGGAGGCTGCCAGGGGCTTGGCGGTGTCCCCGCTGTGCGATCGACGGGATCAAAACCTGCCGAAGAGCCAGTGCGACTTCATCGACTTTATCGTGCGACCTTGCGTCACCATCTTCTCAATGTACTGCAAGGTGCGCAAGGCCTCTGCCGTGCGCTGATGTCAGAACGTCCTACAGTACATATCCTTCTCCGGCACCTGTGCGGTATCGTGAAATTTGTAGCTCGCATGCATTCCTTATGCACCCAGAAGGGGTAGAAGCGGGTTTCGGACCTCCATCTGCCTGTGATATTCCCACTTCCGAAAACAATCATAATCCAATTTCGCGTGCCTACATACTACAGCATCGAACAAATAAAAATAATGAATTGATTATGTAGCAATTCTCTAACTGTTTTTATGTTCTTGTTGATCAACAACCAGCGGGCGAGAGGTCAAAAACAACAGTGACTCTCCGGGTTTTTTAATGTCATCCTTTCAACATCAATAAGCGTGCTGTATGGAGCGTAATGGCACGGCGAGAAGCGTCTACAACGGTCCTGTACTCGTTCTACTATTGTACATGCAGGTGACGACTTGGAATGATCAGCTTGACAGCAACTTCCGCGCGTGGAGGGCTCTCTTCGAACAACAGGGAGGCAACGCCCGCAGGCCGACTAGCCCGGCCGACAAGCGCCGCAGCTTGCGATAAGGATACCGCCAGAAAACTATTGAGCACAATGGTGCGTCTCGTATGAATGAAGTAGGTGGCAATACGAGCATCCTAAAGAGCTTGATGTCACCCGCGTACATTCATGCTAAAGGACGGACAGGAAACATATTTCTTCCTGGAAGGACTGTAGAGCGTGCGGCAATCAAATGCGAAACCTGCAGTGAAAGGAGAATGCCGATATCGCGATCGAGTGAGTATCTGAAACCTGCACACAGTGAATGGAGAATGCCGACATCGCCATCGAGTGAAGATCCGAGATGGCCGGACCAAGTACCTTCACCCCAGCGATACCGCGGGTTCTTATGTGCATTTGTGTGTGTGTGAGGAAATGACGTTGCCGTGGTGTATCCTCGGCGGTGAATGCGCCCCGACCTACATACGTGCAGCGGGGGTGCACGGATAGAATATGCGATGCTACGTCTTCCATATTTGGTGAACGTTCTTTCTTGCTGTACGCATTTGATTTATTTTGTTTCGAATATGTTTGACATCGTGGACCGAGCAGGAGCGGTGAGGCTCCTGACATGTAGGTACTTATTTACGCTGCATCTCATTTGCGGATATGTCTCGAGCGACGTCTGGGAGCTTTACTCCAGGAGACTGATATGTTCTCTACGTAGAGGCTTCCTTCACTTCTCCAACATTTACCTTGAACGGTTGTCTAATCACTTACTCAGTCCGACGCGGTTTTGCGCGGCTTCAACAACTTTGAGCTCCATTGCCTCCAGCGTTGGGCAGTGTCAGTTTTCGTTGTCTCAACCCCCAACACGTGGGTTCTCACGACGCCGTGTGGTTCCTATGCATATCGCGACCAATTTCCTTGTAGAACTTGCCTATAGCCATCAACTCGGAGCTCCGTTCAAACTCCAACAGGTTGAACACCGTTTGGAGGCCCCGGAGGCTGTGTATCTACTTCCAATAGTCTCCTGCCAACTGGCGGGCACGGTACCAAAGCACCTGCATTTGGAGGACACGGCGTTGGTATGAAATACAGCAGACCAGGTCCCTGTTTGTGTCAAGCTCGTCTGTCCGGCGCAAATACACCTGCAACAAGTGGGCACTGACGGCTGTTTCATCCCCGTTTCAATGTGTCAATCTGGTCTCGTTGTCCAAGCTTGTCTCGTGGACTTGTTTTTTCTGTGTCCCCATTGTCCCCATACGTGAACGGTTTGAGTAGTTCATTGGACAAGAAGGAGGGGCGGCACGAAGTGCATTCCGGCGTTGGGAGAAAACCTACTGCTTGGATGATAGATAGAGTGACAGTTAAGTCCCTTCTACGCACGCCGCGGCAACAAGATCCCATTTGTAGCAGAAAATGGCTGGGGAAAACAGACCCCGCCTGCGCAAATTGCTAGCGATGACGCTGACAATGACGACGCCAGTCCCGGTTCTAGTCTCCGCGACGACAATACAACGTGAGCAACCAACGCATCGACGCAGGGTTTGTGGCAAGCTCTGGGTGATCGCAGTAGAGAGGCTTCATTGATCCCAAGCTGGGTACGGATTATTATAACGTTCGGCGGAAATATTACAACAGGAACAAGACGATACGATATTGTCCCGAGAAATACAACATAGCTCGTTCCCCACAGCCGAGCAATGTCCACCTGTCACCTTGATCCGTGTCAAGTACTGACACAAGTGCACAACAAGAGGGGGATAGCCTGCAGGGCCGCACAAAACCCACACAAAAGGACAACGACGGCGACAGCACGAACACGCGAAAACACCTGAAAAACAACTTTAAAGACCCTTACATCCGAATGCGTTTCAACCTGTGCTGCATAAACTCATGCTACCCTCGGTGAATAACCAGGACCGACAACAAGAACACCGGTGTCAGCAGCATGTAGCACCTGGTGTGAACCAAAGCAAGGGGTTCTTGGGAAGCACAATGTACAAAAGTGCCCCCGTATTTCCATCCTCCTACACTCCCCCCGTCCCCTCCTTAACGTACAGACTCAATACGCGGACACTCTTTCGATTCTCAGAAGGCGAGACCAATCGATATGGGAAACAGCAACATTCATACAAGGAAAGCCCTGTCGCAAACATGGATATATAATGGGCCTCAGCCGGAAACATAAACATGTATTTGTCAAGGTCTCTTCATGGCATTAACCACATTGCAACACAATCGATAAATAGAATGCGGACAACGTCACAAAACCCCTACTTCATAGGGTACGATACTTGGAACGGCGTGGCGTTAATTTGAAACCAAAATCCCACGCATTAGAAGAGTAAAACAAAACACAACAGTACCCAGCACTTACACATAACCTCGCCCATTCATCGACAAACCAACCAATCAAATCATGCAATGGATCTTTCGCGCCTTTCATCGCTTGCCAAAAAGGCCTCTCCAGCCCCTCTTGGCTCCACCGTCCCGAACTCCGCCCTCTCCACTGCCTCCGTCGCTAGCGGAGGTCTTCTCTGCCTCTCTCGCCAATCCCGGGGCTGCTTCGTATCCTAACTCCACGGCGAGATCAGACACCTGTCGAAGCAGCACCAGGCGGGTGTGGGTACTCGATGGTTCGTTGGGGGGGCTCCATCAACCCGGGTAATGCAAATTGTACTCCCGCAGGGTTCAGGGCCGACTACGTCACGCCTTCGGGTGCCAGGTTAGCTATCAATAAGCGCGACGCGCCGCGAGGCGTACAGGAGGTCTCGAGCAAGGAGGGGTCATCATCACGCTTTTCTTTCCTAGAGCAACCCTCCACTCGTCCTTACGGCGGCGGTGGCTGTGACAAGCGGTGGTCCTGAACAAATAAGCCAATTGTGCCACAGGAGGCAGTTCGTAAATTCTCTTGCGACCAGGTGGGGACTCGAGATTGGCCTGATAAAGGCACACGGTGGAAACCAGAAGAGTACCAAAGAAAATATCACAAGTGAGGTGAGGGGCACCGCGCGCAAGAACGGGGAACACTACAACAAAGTACAGGAGAGCCGTCGGGGGACAGGTTGGTCAGTCTCGTGGCCCTTGAAATAGCGCTGTCCCTTCGACGCCCACTTTCCGAACGTACAAACCTAACCCACCCCACCCACACTGCGCAGAATCCAAGTACCTGCCGATGTTAACTTATGAGACACCAATTACGTAGACGTAGCAGACACCAAAACCGGGGTGTTATCTCGAGAACATTGTCCATGCTCTACACTAGATACAACCAGCCGCCTTCCAGCACGAGACCTTAAATGTTTTCCATTAGGAGGGTGTCGGCCCCCAGATTGCCGCCAGAGATAGAAAAAAAATAAATCCAATTGGAATATCAACTTTATAGAGTACAACGAAACATCACCTTGAGAAAAGCGTGCAGCATGGCATTGTGCAATGTCTCACCTCTTGAAGCAGCCCCCCCGGAAAGGAAGCGATTTCTGCCCACGTGACCTCGAACCCTGTTGGGTTGCTGGTCATGACTTGTCCAACCCCTGCCTCGTCGTCAGGGGCTGACTCGGACTCTTGGAGAGCCTGCGACAAAGCAGTCGGTATAGGCGGAAACCGTGGAAGCTTGTTCTCGTTTATGCCGGTCTCTTCGGCCTTGTGACAGTGCAGCAGCACTTGCATGATAACCGTGGCTTGACAAATCTGATCCGAACAACTGGGAACTCGCAGATGAGAGTCGGCACGTTCAAGACCCAGCGGGTGTACTCCGAATACCATGGCAAGCAGCACTGATTGGGTTCGTTTTTCATCGTCCTCGTTGCCGTTTTACCGTCGTCGCGTGTTGCCGGCGGACTGTTGGGGTCAACACCGTGACATACAAGGCCAGGGTCGCTCTTCAGAAGCCATCGCGTCCGAAACCAGTCTTGATGAGTCTCCAAAGTTCATCATTCCAAGATAATCCACGTCGCAACAAGTCCCCACGCTACACAGGAAATGAGATGGGGGGTCCAACCCGGTGGTACCTGTTGGACCGCGTGGTCCGCTCACCTCGGCTATGGTCACGCTCGAAAAGCCAGCCATAGCAGCAATCTGTCGCCCCATTCGAGAGCGACCAAGATATTGACGCATGGGCATACCGTAAAATTGAAGCAGCAACGGAGCCGACAGGATGAGGTGGACGAATAGTTTGAGGTGATTAACAACAGAGCGGCTGCTGGAAACTTGGTGTGTTCGTTGTTGAAAAGACGTAAGCAAGGCGAGGCGAGGCAAAACCCAGCTAACGGGTGTGCAAGAGGCCACCGTCACAAAACATTGATGCTGCTGCTGCTGCTGCTGTTGGTGCTGGTGCTGGTGCTGCTGTAGTACGGGCGCGGTCGCATTCAGCGGTAGCTTACGCCAACGCTAGCACGAGAAAATCTCATGCTGCTACGGCCACAAACACCTGGCTGGCTGGCGTGTCCTCGACACGATACCACTTGTCCACCCCCTGCAGCATCGCCCGGTTGTACACCACCCAGTACCACGCCCACGTTTGTACGCAGGAACTGGCCACCTGCGAATTAACACAACATGACGGGGGGGGGCGTGGTGCTTGAATAAGGGAGGCCTTGAGTAAGAGCATGGGTTGCTTGTGAAGGAAGGACAGGATCTTGAGATCATCATACAATCTAAGAATCTATATCGATGTCATGAACATGATCCTGCACATCGACCATCCACGCCGCGGCGTCCAATCTCGGAGACATAATATCAGTCGCCCCGCCACGTTTTTCGAAGGAGGAAGTCGTCTGCACGCAAGGCGGAGTAAACACCGAAAGAGACAAGAAGGTGGCGTTCTGTCCAACATATCGTTCTTGTGAACCTCGAAATCAGCCTGTGCGAACGTCATCAGGCGCGTGACAAAGGCACTCAAACGAACAACCGAATAACAGAAGAGATTGAACTATTGCAAAATTCTAGCCTCGTGTCGTACGTATTTGCTTGGGCACAGAGGTACGAACAAATAACAAACGTGAAACGAACGGTATGAGTTTGGACAACGATTTCAAACACGGCGCGACCAAGGCAGGTCGGAAGTGCCGGGCGATCACACGCTTGGTTTCTCGTTGCACTTACCCTGGCCCAGTCAAAGTCAGAGAAGGCACCGTTTCCTCCAGCTCCAAGCTGTGTTCTGATGAACTTGTTGGTTAGCAGCGAGGAGGCGGTAATGAGATGCTGCCGACCGGCCCCACAGTCGGTGCCCACCCCCTCCTTATTTTTCCCCGCCGACTTGTAGACAAGCCATGCAATCGTTTGGAGAGGGTGTCGCACCTGACCAAGAAGTTCGATTAAATGTACGACACAACACACGAGCGGTTGAAAAAACGGCCATCGCAAGACCGACAGAGGTATACAGATCATGACGATACGCAGGGAACACACAGTCTTGAACACAGAGGGTTGGGAACGGCTAAAGCTTACGCTACCCACATGGCAGATGGCAGACCTCTAGGTAAAGAGACGACGATCAAAATGTGCCACAACAAATCGACATTGCACTAGACGAAGCCAAACCGTTCCAATCATAACAAATATGGTAGCCTTCTTGCCTACAAAAACATTGCAATATTCCCTTCGTCGAATATTCAACACTGTGGGCTGAAACTAGCTCAGTCACAAAAAAAACCGAGTGTGCGACAACCGGCAAAGCCATAAAATCATGTGGTCGAACCAGGGCTCGCTTTTCCATACGGATCTCGAGAGAAGCACCCAAGCGATCCCAACAAAGCGGTCTGTTCATCTACTGTACAGCACGTGGAAGCCAAAAGTCACTGCCAAAGTCCGCCGCCAAAACAGCAAAGCAACGGAAAGAACTGGACGTACGTGTCGAGACTCAAGTGCTTGTTGCTGAACTTCCAAAAATATTTCAGAGCAACGATCCATGGGATTTGTAGGGATGGAGTAGGGGGAAATGACAAGGAACGAGGACACATCATACGGGTCAGTAACGAACGAGTTTGTTCAACAAAACGGCTGGTTAATTCGCAAGAGTCAGTAACTCCTCACCATGATGTGACTTTAGAACACGTCATATCATACGTCTCTCGCCCCCTCAATCTAGACTGTTAATGCCTCTTTAAGCATTAGGACATGACACACACACACATCACGTTCGCCCCATGCTTCCTTGCCGCCCTGAACCAAGGAACAGCATTTCAATGCCACAATAACGCAACAAGCACAAGTTGCTACCTGAAGCAAGTGCCGTCGAAAGGTCGTGCCGCATTCTTGCGCTTCCTCTCCCCCCTCTTGCCACGCCGATTCTCCATCTGGCCAATCCCCTGACTCTATCATCGCCTCCATATCCCACTGGTCTCGCTCCTTGCGACGCCTCTTGCCCCTAGATGAAGACCGACCAAGGGTCCCCGTTGACTGTTTCCCCCGTTCTCTTGCCTCCAACTCGTTCTCAGCTTTGGCGTCTGCGTCTCTCGCCCGCTGCCGGAGAGCGCAGCCGTACTCCCGCTTTGTCACCTCCCTACACTCGTCCTCCCAGCACTGATCCCAGAACCTGATTGCGTTCGAGCAAGCAGGAGTGTGTTGTCTGAGATCCTATACGTCAAATGCAGGGTATAAACGTAATTGACCTCGTTTAGTCCTGCAGTGGCCACGGGGACTACCTGCATGCGAGTGGATTTGGTGATGGAAGTGAAGACATGCCGCATGACATTGGTCTTGATGCGAGCCCAGGTGGCAGAGATTGGCTTCAAGGTTGAAGGCAAGTATCGGGGAACAAAGGTCTTCGGGCTCGCGGAGAGACAATTTGCACTAGAGTAGAGAATACACACAATCAAAGAGAGAATAAATACCCGGTTGAGATGTAATTTTCCAAATCCCTCACAATCCCCGCATATGCCAATGTGGCTGAAGGCCGAATCTGCTGGCGTAATGAAATTATGTTACGAGGGCGCGCGTGAATACAAACTAGTGGCCGCTGCGGTACCAGTTCTTGCTTTGAGACATTGTTGCAAGACCTGATTGAGATTGAGGTCGTCATGCACTCGCAGTCTGCATCGCTCGGTGCCCTACCGCACGCCGCCGCCGATTCTCATCTCGCTGAATCTCTCTGTACCCCCCCCTTCCCTCATAGCCCTACTCTACTCTACCGCTTGAGGGATTTAGAATAAACTAGAACACTCCAAAACGTGCATGAACCAGAAGGTACCGAAGCCTGCCTCGAGTAACTCGCAACATCATCAACGAAGAATTGTGTACGGACCGGGGACAGGAAGGTCTTTCCCTCCGACTCCTCCTTCGTCTCACCTAAAAAGGTAGCTGCACTCTGAGGACGGCTGGAACATCGTGCTGCTGAATGCTTGCCGCCGCGGAGCAGCGCACAGCAACGACAAGTTCGGAATTCCACTGCGTTGACCGGTGCGAGCGGGGGGGGGGGGGGGGCGTACTCATTTGTTGCTTGCCGTAGTCATTTGACCATTGACCACGCGTCCCTTTCGAGACGGAGCACCGTTCCTACACCTACTAGAGACACCACCAACATTTGGGAGCTCTTTACGTTTCTGCCACAAACTCCATAAAAATTTCTTGCACATCTTATCCCCGTCCTCTAGGGCCTCTTGTGCCCACCATCTATCCCCAATTATCGCGATCGTTTTTTCGCTGTTGTCTAATTAACCAAACTTGTCCATGTCACACCCTCTCTGTCTCATTTCCTCCTCGAGATCCTCTCTTTCCTTCCTGTACAACTCACACTCCCCAACTATGTGGGGTCTACTCTCCTCCGATTTGCCACATGGACATATGTGTCTATCCTCCTCTTCCTCTCTCCTACGGCTGGTATACCTCTTCCTCCGTTCTGGCAAGTCCAGATCGCCTACTCGAAATTGCAATTTCAGCTTTTTCGCATAGTCCATGGGGCCGTCCAAGTACTTCTTCATCCCTATCCCTTCTTTCAACTTCCCGTATATCTCCAAGTGGTCTTCGCTTTGTACCTTCTTCCGAAGGGTTGCCTCCTCCCTACTCTCTAGCATCTCCTTGACTTTCGTCTTGAACCCCCCGAACCCTTCCGTGTCCAACGTCTCCTCCTCGTCTCCTATCTCCTTCCAAACCTTCTCTACCACCTTGTCCCATCTGATTCCCTTCTTCCCTGGAGTCGCTTTTCCCCAAGCTGCCTCGTCAACCATGGCTGGTAGTCTATCGTCCGACATTCTACTTACCTTGTACTGCCAATTCAACTTCTGCATGTCTCTCTTTGTTTTAAGAGAGTAAATTCCCAATTCTGCTCTCAATACAGTGTTGCTCGTTGTACTTGAACGAGCAAGGGGGGGGGGGTACTCATAGTCGTGCATGCCGTAGTCGTTAGACCATTGACCTCGCATCCCTAAAAAGCCGGGACGGAGCACGCAGGGTTCTCACCGGACCAGGCTCTCACATCACCAAGCGCGAAGCGCCGTGAGGTATTCGGCGAGTCGCATGAAGGGTGAGCTGCATCCTGCTAAGGGTGTTCGGCATCTTGTGCTTACTTCCTTGCGTACGGATGACAGCTGCGTATGACGTAATTTATTTTCTGGTGCTTTCACTTCCAGAGACAGTTGTAAGCACTTTGTAACTGCCTCGAGAGTGTTTGACCATTTGAATACAACGTGGTGCGATCATCCCCCTTGCGCGGAGTGAGGGTTCTCCACCCCGCACAACATGATCTACTCGACGACCATTATGGTGGGGGGGGTGGGGGGGGGGGTTCGTGGGGTCGTGTGGAAATGACCTACTGCCGGTACCCCGGGAGAGCAAAAACAAGCTAGGAGTTGTGGGAGAAGACAGCAACACTCCTATGGGGGGGGGGGGGGGTCCCCCCCCGGGGGGTTTTTGCTAAGGAAAATTTTTACCCTTCCCCCTGTTCCCGGGGTTTCAAAGGTTGGGGGAAAATTTGGGGGCCAAAACCTT